TTTAATGGACTAAACTGGTCATTTTTCATAAAAAAGGGGCCTTATTTAGAAATTCACGGTTTCATGGGCCTAAAATGTAAATTTTCGGCCATAATGGGCCTAAAATGTCATTTTTAACAACAATGGGCCTTTATTGTAAATTTTTCGGCCATAATGGGCCTAAAATGTCATTTTTAATAACAATGGGCCTTTATTGTAAATTTTCGGCTTAATGGGCCTTAAGTACCCATTTACACGTTTATTGGGCCTTGTATACTCATTATATGTTTATTGGGCCTCACATACCCATTTACATGTTTATTGGGCCTAGTATTCTCATTTCATGTTAATGGGCCTTAAATACCCAATTGCTTCGCTATTGGGCCTGTACTACACATTTCATGTTGACCGAGTCGATAACATTAAATATATGACATTTTGATATGAACAAATATTTTTATCACCGATGCTTTGTGTTAAAAATTACATACATGAAACATTAATTAAAACAATTGAATGATGTGATACAATACTCGTGTAAACTTAGTTAAGGCTCTTGTGAGACACGCCTTCATTCGTACCTACCTAGTGTACACCCTAAGCCCTGTAGTTATAACCAGAGTCTCTTGGAGGGAGAGCGAGAGTTTGTGTATAGATCTATACGGGGTTGACAACCCCACACCTGAGCTGTTCGCTACAGCTAGACTAGGCCAGTCTAGGGTGACAAATATCTTACCTTAAACAAGCGACGCCTGAAGAACGTCATGACAGGCATAACAGTCACATCAAGCATGGGTTATAACGACTCACATAGAGATTAACAAACATGATAAGTTTATGAAATACATACACTATACTTTTGATACATGTACGAACTATTCATTTCTACAACACTCAGGTCTTATGGTTTTAAGACTACAACTCTTTTACAAGCAGAAAATATCGGATTTTCTGGGAAATACATTATACACTACCATTTACTTACTACAAAAAATATAGGATTTTCTGGAACTCCCTCTTTATACATTTTCAAAAACATGAATACATATGCTTTAATACAAGATTTGAAACAAAACTCTCAAACTAATTTTACGGAAAATATCGGATTTTCTAGTGTTTACAAAATGATACAAAGTTTTTCATACAAACATGCTTATGAACTCACCAACATTATATATGTTGATGTTTTTAAAAATAACTTGTATTCTCAGGGACTCGTTAAGCAGGTCGGTCATCAAGAACATGTGGACTTTTATTGTATTTTATTTTCCATCATACATTTAATATTTTGGCATTTAACTTTTGTGAACAAATACAATGATGTAAAACCCTGTATGTTGTATTATTGAATGTGTGATGATGATGTTGTCTTTGATTCAATTATATACACTGTGATGATATTACAAGATGAAGTCACCCGCCCCCGGACGTTTCCGCCGTCTGGTTCGGGGGTGTGACAAAAACAAATGATATGTTCTTGGTATATGGAGGTAGAGAAGAGCTAAGACTTATTGGTTACAGTGATGCAAGTTTCAAGATTGATAGAGATGACTCGTGTTCATGGTTGGGATGGGTGTTCTTGATCAATAGAGGAACGGTCACTTAGAAGAGTTCCAAGCATAATACATAGGCTTATTCTACAAGCAAGTCAGAGTATATAACAACTAGTGAAGCTGCAAAAGAGGCTACATAGTTGAAGAACTTCATTAATGATCTTGGTGTTGTTCTAAGCATCAAGGATCTCATGGAAATCTTCTATGATCATAAAGGTGCAATCACATTGACTAAAGAACCTATGGATAATGGGGACTCGAGATATATACTCAGAAAGTACCACTATCTAAGGAAGTGCATCGTGGATGGAGACACTATCGTGAATAGAGTATCATCGGAGGAGAATCTGGCTCTTCACGAATCCATTATCAAGGACCAAACATGATAGTCATACTAGTTCTAGATACATTTGATTTACTAATGATATGACATCATTGTTTATTTGTTAGTTTGATAAATTTTGAAACATTTAACAGTATGGATTGTAACTGATTTGGTGTTTATTTTGTTGTGACTTAATAACGAGCTAGTGATGTTACCATTTTTGTTAATTTATTATTGTGTTTCGCTTTTGCATGTTTAGAACCAACTTTCCGAGTATTAGCGTGCTCAAAACAACCACAATCAATCATAATCTTGGAAGTAAGTAGTGATTTAAGATTGTCATGGAGTGTCTGTCGATGTTCCATAGTGATTGGACATAGCATGGAGATTGCGACTAACACTCAAGTATAATTAATGGAGATCTAAGTATTGGACCAACCCGCACTTAGAGATTATTTCATGGATACATTCATAAGTAGTTCTAATATCATAATATCTTCTATTTTTAAAACTGAGATACATGGGGTTTTTGCGCTACGAATTAGTTATGCCTCTAACGCTATCTGTAACTAGTATTAATAAACGGTGTGTCTATGCGTGACATGATGACTAGACAGAAACTATGTAGTCAAATTTTATTTTCTCCTTCTACCTTAATAGAATAAGCGATATATATGGGGCCCTAGATGATTTGGTGCTGACATCTTAAGTACCTGGTTGGGGTCCTGGCTGAAATTGATATGTTATATTTAGTAGTCATATGTAGTCGTGATAAATCTTTATTAAGAAACATAATTTTGAATTATGGTATTGGCCCTTATACATGTCTCAGATTCATACAAATATCTTGTAGAACAAATAAATAGTTGATCACTTATCAAATGGTTAGATCCTGATTAGATCAGAGTTTGGCAGGTGCATTGCATGGCACTCTCTCTGTTGATTATTAGAGAAGTATTGGACCTCGTATAGTTGATAACTTGTATAAGTGAGAGACTGTTAGAAAGAGTGTCGAATGTCATTAACTAATGGTAATATTCTAATAATAGCAATGTCCTTTTGAGTTGTCATCATGGCCCTAATTGAGTAGAATAAATAAAAAAGAAACTATTTTATTAATTATTATGGTTTAATAATTAATTAGAAACTATTTGGGAATTAATTGGAAATTAAATTAATTCAAGGGATTAAATATTAATTAATCAATTATTGGTTAATTGAAATATTCCAGGATTCCTTTGAGGATAGGGTGAACAAAATTTAGGGCAATCCAACATGGGATTGGAGTAGCTTTGGGCCTAAGAAAATGTATCCTAAAATAGGGTGCTAGGGATCACACCCTAATTGCTCATTCATTTGGCTTGATTATTTGCTTATCTTCTTCCTTTCTTACTGGGCAGAATTCTCACCCTCTCTGGGGTTTGTAGAAAGATTTCCTCTCCTATTTATTTTATTCTGCTCTTTGGTGTTCTTGGGTGTGAACAAAAGAAGGATTATGGTTTGGGTCCTTACATCCAAACAAGGTGGCACACATGAGGTCTCAAACAAGGAGGTCATTAGCATCGAAAGAGGTATGTAATTCTTCATTCTTTATGTTTTAGTAGGGGTAGCAATAATAGCATGAAACTTAGATCCTTAGGATGCATGAACACATACGATTATTGTTTTGTTTTGGTTGCGCCATGATCGTGTATTTAGATGCGTAGAAAACCTAACGTTAATTTACACACATACACACACAAACACACACACACACACACACACACACATATATATATATATATATATATGTATATATATGTGTGTGTGTGTGTATGTGTGTGCGTGCGCTTGTATGTATGTGTTTGTTGTAATTTACATTATCGTGTGATGTAAAGGAAGTATCAGTTTGAATATACTCATATATCAGTATAAAAATATGTGGTTTAAAAAGGATGTGTTTGGTAAAACTAACGGGAACCTGGTTGCTGGTTGTTGTTAGCTGTTAGTTGGTATCTAGAAATTGTAGCTTTTATTTTTATATAAGTGTTAGACAAAAATAGTTGGAATCTTTTGAAATATGTAAAATTACATAAAATAACATCTCATTTAAAAATATAAATATATTAACATATTTTTATGGGTAACTTTTTAAATTTGTTGTGATATTTAGGAGTTTTTTTGTTGTTACATCCCCGAGTTCACCTTCCATTGATTACTGAAGTTATCGATTCCTTTACAGCTAATAAACCTGGAGACAACAAACAACTCGTAAGTCGATTGATCAGGAAGAGATCCCGTGCCAACGCTCTGATGACAAAGTCGGTGATGACCTTAAGAAAATATGTTATGAGTCCTATTGACCTCAGTGAAATGTGTATGTGTGATTACGTACCTTGTAAAGTAGTTTTGGTTACTTATTTCTAGTCGATATTAGGAGGTGGTGACCTCTTCATGTACCAAACAAGTTTACCCTCTCATCGCATTAATGATCATATACCTGAAGGTACACTTTGGTGTACTAGCCGCTTTACAGCTGTTTCTTGCTAGTAAAAGCATCCATCAGTCACACATCGTAGTACAGGTTGTATCTCTTTGAGTTCCAATGTCCTTTGACACTATTATAATGACACCTTATACTTTAGTCATTACCTTCCTTGGTTCGGTACACATACTTGGTTCGGTATATATATATATATTATATATATATATATATATATATATATAATATAAATTGTTCGATATATATACCTGGTTTGGTATAGCGAGTGTATATATGCAGCTTCAGGCTCTATACCATATTAAGTCCCTCCAGTTTTGATTATAACTATTTTTTTAAAAAATAATAATAATTCAAACTTAAGTGTATTAGCGATATTACTATTGTAAGTAGATAAGTATAAACATTTGAATTAAATTTCGACGTGACGGTTTGACGGCTTCTAGAGTTCATCATTACGCCTATAATCGTCTACTCGGTTCTTTTCCATTTAAAGATGCTACAGTGCATAACCGCTACTTTTTCCTTTCATAAATTTTCCCTGACTTGATTTCCTATATATATCGCTCTCCCTTTGGCTTATTTTTCTTCACTACATGTTTCACCTTTCAATTTATACTTCACTCTTGTTTCTTCACCTTATTCCTTCATTCCTTTTTTCATCATGGCTAACAAAGAGATTTCAAGCATTCGCACCATGAAGTCCAAAATTACCCCAAAAACCCTGACAGACATCATGAAGAAGTACGAAATTGATCCCCAATTTCATCCACGTTTTCCGGATCCTGGGAATGCCATTGTTGATGCTCCGGAGGGATTTGTCGGTGTGTATCGGATGTTTTTCAAGTCCGGTTTGCGGCTGCCGTCGTTCGGGTTCTTGAAAATAGTTCTATACTACTACAACCTTCATATTTCTCAAATTACCCCAAACGGGTTTCGAAAGATTGTATGCTTTGTGATGCTATGTTCTGCCCTAGATATTGCGCCTTCTATCACCATATTCCGTCATTTTTATGTTCCCATGTCTAACAGAGATTGGGTATCCTTATTTCTCCATCATCGCGTAGTAGAGATCTACGATGGTCTTCTAACTTCTATAAAGTACTGGAAGGAAGAATTCTTCTTCGTTAATGACTCTGCCTTCTCTGAACCCATGGCATATGGCGTTACTTTTGATAGGGTTGTCAATCCCTCGCCCGAATTGTCCCTCAAAGAACAGAGTACCGCAGACTGTCTGTTGGAAAATTTTGTCAAGTGGATAGATCCTAAAGAAGTGATGCTAGACATGGCAGGGATAATCTCCCATTGGAAAAAATTGGGGAAAAAACTACTGGAGACCCTAGCGGGACTGGAAGTTACTTTGTTGGAGCGATTACACCGCAAACGCCTATCGAGCTCTATTATGATCACGGAGGAGGCGACCTTACCCAATTCTCCTTTCTTGGTTGGCATCTAGCATGGATTTTGTTGCTAATCCTTATGGTCTGGAGATTGTTATGCCTATGATGCCTTCCCCTACCAAGAAAATTATGAAGATGGAACACGAAAATAGGAAACCACCATCTTCTTCAACCAAGGTGGCACTAAGGACTTTGTGTAACATTCAAATTATTGGTATGTTTCTTTTTAAACGTTAATGTAAAATTTCTCTCATTTTAGTCCCTAGCTAGTACGCGGGGCGTACTCTATGAGTACGCTTAGCGTACTAGCCTATTTATGGATCGAGCGTGCACCCACGTATGTTGGGCGTACGTGGGAGTATGCAGGTCGTACGCAATGCAAGGGTAAACCCTAATTTTTAGGGTTTGTGCCCTATTTAAACAACTTATGACACCCTTGGACCTCCTTATGAACAACCTCCATCTCTCCATACCCTAATATCGAAACCCTAATTGCCATTTGTGAGATTTGAGCTTGGAAGTGAGTTTTGGTGGTGTTTTTGGCGAAGTAAAAGAAAAAGAACACTTGGAGGTTGCTTGGGAGTGGCTTGAGCTTGTAGATCCCGATTCACATCCATCTTAGCCAGCCATTTGAGGTAAAAATCTCTCATCTTGATGGTTCCTTTGTTGGATTAGGTGTCTAAGCCCATAACTATAATTGGTATGTACTTGAATTGATAGCAGCACAGTCCTTTTGGATTGCCCTCAACCTAGCAACTGGACAAGGAAATTATGAAAGGAGAGATATTAATTTATAAGATTAATAAATTAATATAAATGATTTATTAATATGTTAAAAGATTAATATATTAATTAGAAATCATTATGTTTAATTAATAGTTAGCCAGAAATTAATCAGAATTAATTTTGGGGTTAAAAGAATTAATTATAAGTGCAGGGACTAGTTTTGCAATTAATTAATAGTTGAGTGGAAGGTTCCAGAACCCCTTGGAAGGAGGTGGACGAAATTCTTAGGGGAAACCCTAGAGATTTCGTCCAAGGGGTCCAAATAAGGCCTTTGGATCTTGCTTAGGCCCTAAGCAAAGGATAACTAGGGTTTTCCCTAAACCCTAGATCCCTCAGCTATTTAAGGAGCCTCCTGGCTCACATTTGAGGTCACTGGTTTCTTTGGAAGAAACCCTAAGGCCGAAATTGGTACTCTACTCCTCTCCTCTCTCTCTCCTCAAGTTTCCTTCTTGCTAGTTCTTGGGTGTGATTCCATTAGAGGCATTACATTTGTGGTGCTAAGCTTCCAAGAAGATCAAGATCAAGATCAAGAGGATTATCAATTGTTTGCTATAACAATTGAAAGGTATGTAACTCCTAAACCCTAGTTTGTTAATTTCGAAATTAGCCTCTCTCCTCTAGGGTTCTTGTTTTGGAATTCAAAGTTATATGTTCAATAGATCAAAACATAGATCCCAAGTAGGTTGCATGTGAACATAGGAATTGTTTTCTAGTTTATTTGTTTTACCTAAAACCCATCATCCTTATGCTAAATCCACCTTAGGGTGTTATTTGTGCATTTTGGGTCCTTTAAGCATATTTGAGATTATGGTCTACTCCAGAAGCCATGGATGTTAGATCTTAGCACCTTTGAGGTCCCTTTTCCATAAAAATGCAATCTTTATGAGTTATTTTGGTTCATAAATGTGTTAAGGTCCTTAGTATGGTTCTTTTTGAGTTTTGGGTCCCATTAAGTCATGCATGGGAGTAAAGTTGCCAACTTTACGTGTTAAGTCACCATTTAGGATCAGATCTGAGAGTTTGACTTGATGGCTTAACCGATTAAGTGGTTAATAATTATCCTTACCCTATTTTTCGAAATTTAGAGGGATAAGGATTAGGATTAAATTAATTGATTAATTTAATTAGATAATCCTTACAAGATTTAATAATTTGATTAATAGTTGATTAAAAGATAAATATTAAATCTAGTTAATTGGTTTATTTAAATTTAAATTTAATAGTTTGAATTTCGAAATTTATATAAACCCTTGAAGTTTTAAAATGTTTTAAAACACACCCTATATATGTATTATGATTAAAAGTTTAATATTATATATGTATAAGAATATGGTCAATCAAATCGCTAGTATGCCTCATTCACGAAGCTAATCTATAAGGGGGGTATAAGGAAACTGCCTATAAAATGGTAGTTGAATGGGTGTCCACTCTCACCCACCGCTTCCTTGATTAGTGGAGGGTCGTTAGCAGAACGGATTTGATAGGACAACTACTTCTCATTAAAAGTATAATGACATTAAAGAAAGTACTAGAACAGTATTTTTAAAATCCCAACTCTAGTTACTTTAGGAAAAATGTGAAAAGTATGCTAATCCATGAAATTGCACATTATGCTTTATTGGTCGTTAGTGGAGCGTGTGTGGTTAACCAGCACACTAAAGGGCACTAATAAAGAGTAGTAATGGGTATCTCATAATTGTCATTTTGATGGAGCGTGTGTGGTTTACCAACACATCAATAGTTAATGATAAAGACAATGAGGTTACCAAGCACATTTGCATGGTTATTCACATCTTGTTTGTGATCCTCGGCATCCCAGTCACAAATAGAAGAGCATAATCTGAGATTAAAACATGCCATTGAATAGTTTCAATGTATCTCAAAAGAATTAGGAATTTCACTTCGTTTGTTTCGTCTAATGGTGGAATTGGTGAATCGTCATTCACCTACCTTTATGAAATTTTCACTTGGATCTCGGCATCCCATTTCTAAGTTGTGAATCTTCATAGTTGGATCCTAACCTTGATATTTTATCTTTGGGTTATTATATTGAGGTATCTTGAAATCTAACTAAAATTTTCTTTCTTTTCAGATGTCTACTCCTGGAAACACTTCTGCTTCATCCTCCTCCAACCAGAACTTCTCTTTGCTCGATATCTGCTCCAAAGTCGTTATGGATGGCTCAAACTATAACGATTGGATGCACAACATCAAGATGGCTCTTCGTTTTGAGAACAAAGAATATGTTCTTGAAAAGGAGCTCAAAGAGCTTGATGAGTCTGAAGCTACTCCTGAAGATCTTGCTGCCTACAAGAAACATTACGATGATGCTACCAAAGTGGCGTGCATCATGGTGGCAACCATGTCCCCAGAACTGCAGAGGTACTATGAGGACTACTGGCCTTTTGAGATGAACAAGGACCTTATGGAAAAGTACCATAAGCGAGCTCGTCAAGAAAAGTTTGAAGTAGTCAAGTCACTCATGGCTTGCAAGATGAAAGAAGGGGAATCGGTTGTGTCACATGTGCAAGAATGCAACGCTACATAGAGCGTTTGGTCAAGCTCAACATTCACTTTGATGAGGAATTGGCCATTAACATGGTCTTGAACTCACTACCTGATTGTTATGGTCAGTTTATTCTAACTTACCATTTGAACAATACTGAGCAGACCTTGGCCCAATTGCACAACTTGTTGCAGACAGTTGAGGCAGGAATGAAGGGTAAAAGTATACCCTCCACGCCTACAAGTGCCCCTGTGTTGGCTATTGGACAGGGAAAGGGGAAAAAGAGGAAAGGTCCTCCCAAGCAAAACTGGAAGAGCAAGGCTCAAGCTGGGTCGTCTAGTAATGGCCCAAAGGCTAAGCCCAATGGTTCCACTCCCCATGTTTCTGATCCAAAAGAGGCCGTTTGCTTTTACTGCAATCAAAAGGGGCATTGGAAGAGATCTTGCCCACAATATCTGCAAGATATCAAGGATGGCAAAGTGAAGCCATTTTCGGCAGGGACTAAAGGAAAGTGAGGAGATAGAGCGAGGAAGGATAAACTTGATCATGGGAAACAGAAAGTCTTCACCAGTGACCAAGATCGGAGTTTATCAGCTTCTGCTTAGCAATGATGTTAGATTAGATTTAATAAATTGTTGTTATTCGTCTGAGATGACGAGAAACATTATTTCATTTCATGCATTGTTCAGACAAGGTTTCAAATATTCTTTTAATGATTTGAATGGTTCAATTTCTGTTTATAAGAATGGTGTTTTTATGTTTGAAGCTTTACCTTGTGATGGTGTGTATGAAACAGTGACTTGTGTTGATAGCTTAGGAAATAGTGTACTTAATATTGACTTGTCTAATAGTGTAGACAAGGCATGCTTGTGGCATTGTCGTCTTGGACACATTAACAAGAAACGCATAGCCCAACTCCAAAAGGATGGAGTGTTTGAATCATTTGACCTAAAATCAGATGATATGTGTGAATCTTGTCTTTTGGGAAAGATGAAAAAATCACCATTCACAGGGTCTTGTGAAAGAGGTGAAGGTCTGTTGGATCTCATACACACAGATGTGTGTGGGCCCTTCAGATCAACTACAAGAGATGCTAATCGATTCTATGTGACTTTCACTGACGATTATAGCAGATATGGATATATCTACTTGATCAAGCATAAGTCAGAAACTTTTGAAAAGTTCAAAGAGTTTAAGCATGAAGTCGAAAATCAATTGGGCAGAAAGATAAAGATACTTAGATCCGATAGAGGCGGGGAGTATCTTAGTATCGAGTTTAACGACTATCTGAAAGAATGTGGGATAGTCGCACAATTGACTCCTCCTAGGACACCACAGTTAAATGGTGTAGCTGAGAGGCGTAATCGAACCTTGTTAGACATGGTTCGTTCTATGATGAGTCGGGCTTCGCTTCCCATTCACTTCTTGGGGTATGCCTTAGAGACAGCCGCCCACATCCTCAATCTTGTCCCTACAAAGAAGGTTGCCAAAACACCTCACGAAATGTGGACAGGGAAAGTTCCCTCGTTAGCACATATTAAAGTCTGGGGTTGTGAAGCTTTCATAAGACGAGAGACTCACGACAAGCTAGCAGCTAGAAGTGAGAAATGTGTTTTCATTGGTTACCCAAAGCAGTCTTTTGGATATTTGTTCTACAGGCCTAGTGAGAACGTGGTCTTTGTAGCACGAAGAGGAGTCTTTCTTGAAAGAGAGATCATATTCAAAGAGGACAGTGGGAGCACTATTGACCTTGAAGAAATTCAAGAGTCAGCTAATGAAGGAACCTTAGATGACACTAGCACGCAACCAGAGGAAACAGTTCCTGTTGAACCAATCGATAACTCATTACCTCTTAGAAGATCCACTAGGGTGAGTGTGCCACCTGAGTTGTATGGTTTTCATATTACTTCAGATGGTGACACATTCATAAGTGACAGAACACTGGTAAACTTAGATGAACCAGTCACTTATAAGGAAGCAATGGCAGGCCCAGAGGCTTCCAAGTGGAAAGAGGCAATGGACAGCGAGATTAAGTCCATGTATGACAACCAAGTTTGGAATTTGGTTGATAGTGCACCAGGTCGTAAGACAGTTGGGTGCAAATGGATCTTCAAGAAGAAGACAGACATGGATGGAAATGTGCACACATTCAAGGCTCGACTGGTTGCAAAAGGTTTCACTCAAACCCCAGGGGTTGACTATGATGAGACCTTCTCGCCAGTGGCTAAGATTAAATCTATTAGGATATTGCTCGCCATAGCTGCCTTTCATGATTATGAAATCTGGCAGATGGATGTCAAAACTGCTTTCCTTAATGGGAAGTTGGCTGAAGATGTTTACATGAGTCAGCCAGAGGGTTTTGTTGATGCAAAGTTCCCCAATAGAGTGTGCAAGCTTGAGAAATCCATTTATGGATTGAAATAAGCATCTCGCAGTTGGAATCTTTGCTTCCATGAGAAAGTCAAAGAGTTTGGTTTCTCTAGAAGTGAAGATGAGTTATGTGTGTATATCAAGGCTAGTGGGAGTATAGTAACTTTTCTGGTGTTGTATGTCGATGACATATTACTCATTGGTAACGACGTTCCAACCTTGAAAGAAGTTAAGTCTTGGCTTGGAAAGTGTTTTGCCATGAAAGACCTTGGAGAAGCTGCCTATATTCTTGGGATTAGAATATTGAGAGATAGAAAGAAGAGACTAATTAGACTTAGTCAGAGCACATACTTGGATAAGGTACTAAAGAGGTTTAGTATGGAAAATTCCAAGAAGGGGGAGCTACCTATCCAGAGCAATACCAAATTGAGTAAGACTCAATGCCCGAGTACAGATGTTGAAATAGATGACATGAGTCGTGTACCTTATGCTTCCGCTGTCGGATCGATCATGTACGCTATGACATGTACTCGCCCTGATGTGGCATTTGCTTTGAGCATGGTCAGTCGCTATCAGGGAAACCCAGGTAGAGCTCATTGGATAGCAGTTAAGAATATACTCAAGTATTTGCGAAGGACAAAGGACTGGGTCCTTGTGCTTGGTGGCAGTGATACTTTGAGAGTAGATGGTTACAGTGATGCCAGCTTTCAGACGGATAGAGATAACTTCCGTTCTCAGTTGGGCTGGGTGTTTTTACTGAATGGAGGAGCAGTTACTTGGAAGAGTTCCAAGCAAAATACGGTGGCTGATTCTACTTGTGAATCAGAGTACATAGCAGCAAGTGAAGCGTCGAAAGAAGCAGCTTGGTTGAGGAACTTCATCGGGGATCTCGGAGTTGTTCCAACCATCCAGGAGCCTATGGAACTGTTCTGCGATAATGAAGGAGCGGTTGCCTTGACAAAGGAACCAAGAGATCATGGTAAGACCAGACATATCGACAGAAAGTACCATTTCATCAGACATAGAGTAGAAGAAGGCCATCTTATAGTAAAGAGGGTGTCATCTGAAGATAACCCAGCAGAGCCCCTCACAAAGGGTCTGAGTAGGGCTAAGCATATTCAGCATGCTCGGAGCATAGGACTGAAAGATGATATTAGTTTTAGTAGTTAGATTAGTTTTGTTCTGAAACTTGTAACAAAGTAAATGTAATTGACTTTTGGTGATTAAATAATAAAGTATTATTTATAAGTTTGGTTTCTGCCTTTTGTCAATTGTTTATTATTGTGTTTCATTTTTGCATGTTTTACTTCCCGAATAATAAGATTATTCAAACTCCACAGTCACTCATACTTTTGGAAGTAAGTAGTGAATCAAGACTGTCATGAACTGGATTGTAGATTGTCTAAGGATAGACATGGCAATAGAATTGCTGCAACATTCATGAGTACTCAGAAATTGAGATTTGAGTATTGGATAAACCCTCGCTCAGAGTATCACTTCATGGAATTCATCACGAGTAATACTGAGACGATAATATCTTATAATCTTGAAACGAATATATATGAGTTGTAATTTACAAGTCGGTCATGCATTGGTGATACGAAAACGCATCAGTAACTTGGTGTTATAAAACGTATTGTCATGTATAATTTGATGAGTAAAAGATACAAGCATATGAGTCAACGTTTATTCGTTCCTTTTGCCCTAACCGGAAAAGCGATATCTGTGGGCCCCTCGATGATTTGGTGTTGACTTATGTGCTGGGCCCAGCCAGGACTAAATTGATGTGTTCAATTAGAAGTCCTACATCATCACAAATCAGGAATCGGAAACATAGATTCTGGACAAAGAGATTGATTACATTCCATGTCTTATGTCTAGGGATATCTAGCAGAACGAAGGATTATATGATCACTTATCTTAGGACACGTAACTGACTGGGTCAGAGTTCGGCAACAACTTTTGGAAGCTATAATTTGCTGGTCAAATTTAGAAGGCATACTAGCAATTATAGTTACAGACTTATCCAAGTGGGAGACTGTTGGATTAGGTGTCTAAGCCCATAACTATAATTGGTATGTACTTGAATTGATAGCAGCACAGTCCTTTTGGGTTGCCCTCAACCTAGCAACTGGACAAGGAAATTATGAAAGGAGAGATATTAATTTATAAGATTAATAAATTAATATAAATGATTTATTAATATGTTAAAAGATTAATATATTAATTAGAAATCATTATGTTTAATTAATAGTTAGCCAGAAATTAATCAGAATTAATTTTGGGGTTAAAAGAATTAATTATAAAGTGCAGGGACTAGTTTGCAATTAACTAATAGTTGAGTGGAAGGTTCCAGAAACCCCTTGGAAGGAGGTGGACGAAATTCTTAGGGGAAACCCTAGAGATTTCGTCCAAGGGGTCCAAATAAGGCCTTTGGATCTTGCTTAGGCCCTAAGCAAAGGATAACTAGGGTTTTCCCTAAACCCTAGATCCCTCAGCTATTTAAGGAGCCTCCTGGCTCACATTTGAGGTCACTGATTTCTTTGGAAGAAACCCTAAGGCCGAAATTGCATACTCTCTCCATCCTCTCTCCTCCAAGTTTCCTTCTTGCTAGTTCTTGGGTGTGATTCCATTAGAGGCATTACATTTGTGGTGCTAAGCTTCCAAGAAGATCAAGATCAAGATCAAGAGGATTATCAATTGTTTGCTATAACAATTGAAAGGTATGTAACTCCTAAACCCTAGTTTGTTAATTTCGAAATTAGCCTCTCTCTTCTATGGTTCTTGTTTTGCAATTCAAAGTTATATGTTCAATAGATCAAAACATAGATCCCAAGTAGGTTGCTTGTGAACATAGGAATTGTTTTCTAGTTTATTTGTTTTACCTAAAACCCATCATCCTTATGCTAAATCCACCTTAGGGTGTTATTTGTGCATTTTTGGGTCCTTTAAGCCATATTTGAGATTATGGTCTACTCCAGAAGCCATGGATGTTAGATCTTAACACCTTTGAGGTCCCTTTTCCATAAAAATGCAATCTTTATGAGTTATTTTGGTTCATAAATGTGTTAAGGTCCTTAGTATGGTTCTTTTTGAGTTTTGGGTCCCATTAAGTCATGCATGGGAGTAAAGTTGCCAACTTTACGTGTTAAGTCACCCATTTAGGATCAGATCTGAGAGTTTGACTTGATGGCTTAACCGATTAAGTGGTTAATGAGTTGGATTGGTTGTAGGGCGTACCCAGCTCGTACGATGCGCGTACTGGCCCCGAAGGAGTATGCTAAGCGTAAATATGAGTACGCCCATGGTACTCAGCAGTTGGACCTTCAGATGACTTTCACGGGGTTGGGCCATATTTTTGGACTTTTAGGGTTTAGGCCTTGTTGGGCTATTGGACTTTTGACTTTGGGCCATTGCTAGGCTATGAGCTTCTTGGATTTAGGACCATGATGGTTTTTGGGCCCAATTAGGAAGTTGGGCCAATTAGGCCTTGGGATGTCATTTAGGAATTTCGGCTTTTTAAGCAAATGGGTTGGGCCTTGGTTTTGGGCCAAGTAAGAGAATGGTAAAATGGTCTTTTACCCTGGATGTTGGACAAATAATTTAGATTCTTAAATATGGGCTGAGATCCAATTATTAATCAGATATTATTTGATGGCGTTAGCACGGGGATTTTCTAGATCAGCAAACCGAGATTTTATTTGAGAGATTTAGCAGCTTGAGGTGTGTTTCCTCATTGTGTTTAGCGGGTCGAAGGCACCAATGCTGGCCCATGGTTTATTATGATTAGGATGCTAGTTGTTTGTGTGACTCTGCATGTATGTTTTTTATATGTTTACCGGGCGGGGCCTGATGATTATATTGTATGCTATTTATCTTTGTGATTCTTGCATGTATTTTTGTGTGTTTTATGTATACCGGGCGGGGCCCAATGCCAGGCGGGGACTGATGACTGACAGATCTGTTCCGAGCGGGGCTCGATGACGGGCGGGGCCCATTATATGTTTGATATGTATGGTATGTGGTATTTTAGGAAACTCACTAAGCTTTATGCTTACGGTTTTCAGTTTATGTTTCATGCACTTCTGGTTCGAATGGGAAGAGCTCGGGATGACTGCATTGCACACACCATATCGAAATTTTTGGTCTTAATTTTTGGGACGTTACACTTTGTCCTCTAAGAGGAAAGCTGGGGTAGAGAAAATCCTTCCCTTGGAAGGAGTGATGAATCGTTTTGACAATGTGATCAACTTATATCCCCCAAAACGAAGAAGAACCACTCGCGGTGGTGACACGAAAGGACGTGGTCTAACGGTCTTAAGTAGTCAACCTTCATTTGATTATGTAAATCCAACCTCTTCCTTGGAGCCGCCTTCAACAATTACTCTTCACGAGTGCCCGATAATTGTTGATCACAAATTAAAACATGGTGAGGAAACTCTCCCGTCGTCAGATGTTGAAACTCCATGGTTTGAGATTCCTCCTCATCCTACTTCAGAAGTCCCAACTCTTGTTGAGTCCCTGGAACCAACGCCAAAAGATCAACCTTCATCTAGTTTGTTTGTTGTTGCTACCTTTTAACAAAAACTCTTTGTAGTTGGGTTTGGATGTTTTCGAGTGACAAATGTTAAGTCTACGGTTGTGACAGCAGATCCCTTTTTTCCTGGATCGGGTGCTCTAGGTAGTTTGAGCATTACTCCTTTGGAAATTCTTGATGCCTCCAGGCTGTCGACATATAAATATCGCGTGTGCCTGTTGCTGGAACCTCCTCTGTTGAATAAAGTTATTACAAAATTTTTGGCATAGCTCTTCAAAGCTTCCTATACTCCGAGGGGGTAAACTTGCTAACAAATATCGGGTAGATCCATCCAAAGTTCTCGCGAAGTATAAACTCCACAAGTTTGGTTCCATTGGAATCATCTTGATGACCCATTGAAAATTTAAGACATGGTCATCTAGATCTCATGTTCCATCATATGGAGGCACTCTTGGTCCTTTCAGTCCTTTTGGAATGGGTGTTCCGTTGATATCATCCATAAAGGGTTAACAAATATTCAAGTTTTTGATGGCTTGGTTGAACTGCTTTGCCTCTACTACTTCTAGCGACATTTCCTGGTTTTTGCGAGAGTTCTTCTTCGCTTTTTTAGAGTGTGAAGGGTCAGAGCTTACTTCCCTCTTGCTTCCTTCCTTCTTGCTTAGTTTCTTCTCATTTTTCTTGTCTCTTATATTTGTCTCGTTTGACTGGTGTGAATGGATACCAAGTCCTATTCTTTCTCTTTCTGGGTATTTTGCTTATTTCTTTCCATTTTTCACCTTCTCATGGCTCTGAAGCTTTTGAAGGCTTCGAACTCCTCTATCTCTAATTCTTCCGCTTCCAAATTATTTTGGCTTATTTCCCCTCCTTCTCATAGGCCTTCCAGCGTCACATTCTTGTTTTTTATCACCGTTGCAATCTGTGGCGTTTCTTCAGGTCCTTCAAGATCTTGCATTCTCGGGATGAGACTCGCATCAACAAATGGGTTTACTTCGTTGGCTATTTGTCGCGGAGTCCTACGGATGGCGCCACTTGTTGCGCCCCCGGGTTCACCTTCCATTGATTGCTGAAGTTATCAAATTCCCTTACAGTCAATAAACCAAAAGACAACAAACAACTCGTGAGTCGATTTACCGGGAGATCCCGGGATTATGCTCCAATGATAAAGTCAATGTTGACCTTGAGAAAATATGTTGTGAGTCGTATTGAGCTTAATGAAATGTGTATGTGTGATTACGTACCTTGTAAAGTTATTTTGGTTACTTATTTATTGTCAATATTAGGAGGTGGTGACCTCTTTATGTAGCAAGCATGTTTACCATCTTGTCGAATTAATGGTTATATACCCAAACGTACGCTTTTGTGTACTTACTAGCCGTTTTACAGTTGTTTCTTACTAGTAAAAGGATCTGTCAGTCACACATCGTGTACATGTTGTATCTCTTTGAGTTTCAATGTCCTTTGACATCGTTATGACGACACTTTGTACTTTAGTCGTTATATCTGTGGTTCGGTACACATACTTGGTTCGATATACATATATGGTTCGGTATATACACCTAGTTTGGTATATATATCTGGTTCGGTATATATGCAGCTTCAGGCCCTATACCCTATTTTTTGTTAAACGCTGCTTGAAATTGTTTTTTGAGTAGATATTTTTTGTTTAAAATAAAACGTAAACAATTACAGACGAACATAATTTTTTTTCGAGCTTTTATTCTTAAAAGCTAAAAGCTAAAAGTTTCAAAAAAAACTTTTAAAATTTTGATGTGGAACACACCTAAAAGCTTCATATTAACATCATTTAGTTGTCATTATTTACTATAAAACAATATAAATCAGCATAATTCTTCCTTGATTGTTTATTAACCTAACAGAAATTTATAAATTTCACAAAATCAAATAAATACAAAGTTGATATATGCATGTCAATATCTTTATCTTTACTATATTATTAAGCATATTAAACATTTCTTGAAAACTTTAAGAGGTACAATCTTTAAAACAACAATTACAATTATCTAATGTAAATTACTACTAATCTTTGTTTGGAAAACCAAACCTTCAATCATTACCAAATACAACAGACACCATGAATTAAGGAGGTGATTGTGAAAATCAATTTTAAAAAATTATTTATTAAATGTAAGCTTGATATATAACTAGACATAAATAGACACTAATCTTTGCTAAACTCGGATACCATGGATTGAGAGTAATTATGGGAATTAATTTTCAAATATTGAATTCCCTCGCTTATCTTATTTTTTTTAGATGCCGAATTCCTCATACCTTCTCATATAAATAATCGCATCTATCTATGCCCTAATTAAAATCAAGAAAGCAGGGCATCGTCGTAACTATGTCTCTATATTCCTCTCTCAATGGAACTTTACCCGCATCTTTTACCATCCCCTTTACCATTAATTACAATCTCCTTCTTTATCTAGCATGTATACAAGCAAGCATTGCAATATCACAAGACTTTCCCACCATTTCATGCAACAACTAGAAACAAAAATGAGGTAGCATGGCATATTTATTATTTTATTATTTTTATTAATCAACTTTTTTATTTTTGTTGAGATATTATTCAAACTATTACAATTTTATATATATATATATATATATATATATATATATTAATATATATAATATATATATATTATATATATATATAATATATATATATATATATATGAATCTCAAGTAGAGTTCAAAATTTCATGTGTCATTGTGTCCATGGGAATAACATAGTTGAGTTTGAGCTCATAGGGTTTACTAATGTATGTATATTAATCATAGCCATCTCCCTGTAGTACATAACCATAGAGGAAATTTATCTTTTAAGTTTATGTAATAGCCATGTATAATGCCATTTTTAATTGTGTTTATTTCTTTTTAAGACTTCATTTTCATGCATAACGATAATATGTTTTCTTTTTCGAGATCTACTTTTCAATAATTGTGTGCTTATTTATTTCTATGGTAATAGTTTTATGATATCATCAATTTTAATAAAAAAAATGTTTTAACATGAGTTTTCAGTTTAGAAATATGTGTTTATTTTTTATAATTTAAATATTAATAAAAATAATGAGAGTATAAGAAAGGTAGACTTTTTCAAGATCACTATATATGTATGATAAATCTTTTTCTTTTTAATAAAGATATTTGTTAACTAAAAAGGAAAACAAGTATTTAAATATTAAAAAGGCTAGATATGAATAAAAGTTAAACAATTATGAATCATATATTTTAACATAAGGAAGGAATGAAAGATACTTCATTTTCAGGTTCAAATTCAATATTTTGTTGTACGGTAGGATACATAAGTTTTGGTTATAATTTTAGCTTATCTTTTTTTCATTCTGTAATATTTTGCTTCTTTACATACTTTCATAATGATGAATAAATTAGCAAGTCAGATTGTTTACAAAGCAGTGGTTGTTGTGATAATTAAAGTTTTTTTTTGTTATGTAGCCTAGAATACAACTCTATTTGTAAAGCTTGCTTTGCATTATTGGTGGTGACAAAATCAAAATGTTTTGTGGTTAGCGGTTTGATTATATTTTGCTCACTGGCATTGTGCATTTGTAAAAGAAGGTCAATACACATGTACATTATTGATTTAAAACAACAATTTGTATGGTTGAATAAAAAAACGAAAGCAAAACAACCGGAAAACAAAAACCGACAATGTGATTTTTACTTTTTGAAAACTAAAAAACTTGATTCGGTTTTGATTTATATACCTTAACAATTCGAAAAAGAATTGAATAGACCCAGAACCCAAAAAAATCGAATCGAAAAACTGATACGAACCAAAACTGAAATTGTTTGATGATAACTAATTAATTATATTTTATTAAATATTAAATATTTAATTACTTTTTATTATTTTTGTAAGACTTTGCCAAACTCACCCCGTCTAATTAATTTTTTTACCAATTTTGTAATACTATATTTGTACAAAATTTTTAATTATTTTGCAAAAAAAGTAAAATAAAAATGTGATTGCAGTAGACAGGTAGACTTTATAAAAGACAAATACGAATAGTTTTATATGTTGATTAAAGTTTTATATAAAACTCTGGTCTATTGCTTTAGTGTTTAATTAATTAAGTGTAAGCACCTATTAACTTCATATGTATGTGTTCCTATGTCTTGCATTTCCATCGTATATCATGAATCCTTTTGTCTATGGATGAGTTTGAGTCTATATATTCATGGTCGGTGGCACATTGATAACTTAATAGTAGTATGTTTATAGTTTTTGCTTAATTCTCAAATTGATGTTTCCATCACTCAAAAGGATCAACGTAAGAATAATAATAATGTTTAACTTAAATGAGAAGGGTTTACGTACCACATTTTCTTTAGTTCTCACATGTTATTTGGTGATGAAATTCCTATTATATATTCATAAATCCGATTAATTATTATTTTATTGAACAAATGTCTTAGAACAATTTATTGAAGAAAATTAAAGCACATGCTCATAACTATGTATATATTCTCTAAGTTTTTCGGTTTTACAAATGCTATAAACAATCAACGTGACCTATCTTTTTTGGTTTCAAACTCAACCAAAATGAAACAGATTGAACCGTGTGGAAAAACCCAAAATTAATCATATTGAAGATCCAAATTGTATTATTAAAAAAACTCTACATTTATGTTCGTTTCGGCCAAAAGTAAACCACATCGGTCCATGTTCATCCCTTACAATTTGTGTCCCGCTGCATTGCGCGGGTACACAACTAGTGAAACAATAAAAGAGTTTTCTTATAAATTTTGATAAAGAAAGTAGATTTTAAAACTGATAATCTATATGTATGTAAGATCAAATCAGATACGTGTAATAAAGTATTTAACAATAGATAATAAAAACCAATAAAGATAAGTTTGCACTTCTTTGTAACCTCACATGGATGTTGAAAATTTGTTTGTCCAATACATTTTGAGATAGGGGAAACTAGACAAGATGTTTTCCTTCACAATAAAGAAACAATTTTTCAGCTCTACAAATCTCTTCGTTCTC